TTTTTAATCTCCTGTAAAGTTAAGTTATCACTAATTTCAAACTGTTCAGCCTCCTGTAAAGATGATTGATCGCTAATGTTATACACTTCAATCTCTTGTAAAGATGCTTGCTCTTCAACTTGATACTGATTATTCCTTTGTTCCTCAACTTTATACTGATTAATCTCTTGTAAAGGTGCTTGATCTTCATCTTTATACTGATTAAACTCTTGTAAAGGTACTTGATCTTCAACTTTATACCGATTAATCTCTTGTAAAGGCGTTTGATTTTCAACTTTATACTGATTAATTTCTTGTAAAGGTATTTGCGCTTCAACTTTATACTGATTAATCTCTTGTAAAGACGGTTTCCCTTCAATTTCATGCTGATTAGTCTCTTGTAAAGGTATTTCGTCTTCAATATCAAACTGAATAGTTTCTTGTGAAGACATTTGCTCTTCAGCTTCATACTGGTTGACCACTTGCAAAGGTGTTTGTTCATACTGATTGTTTGGAAGGTCATCAAGTTTATATGGTTTAATCACTTGTTCATCAATTTCAAATTGCTTGTCTATTGACGTGTTATCGCCGATAAAAGGTAAATAATCATAGGTAGAAAATCCCGGTTCTCCATATGACAATAAATTTTGACCACCATATGCCAACAAATCCTGATCACCATATGATGACAAACCTGACTCGTCATACAAAGATAAATCTGATTCACTATATGAAGATAAATTTGGATCTCTGTAAGTCAACATTTCAGGACCACCGTAAGTCGATAATTCGGATTCATCAAGTTTAGCCATTTTAGTAGCTCTATAATAATAGAATTAAAAATTTTAGTAAAATGATATTTGACAAGAATTTTAAATAAATTCAATAAATCGACAAAAAATATTCGCATACATATGAAAAAAAATAATAGTAATATAAAGCAGACATCAGTCTATAATAATCACTAGTAAAAAAAATAATAGTAATCAAACGATACGGTACCTTTCTTGATCATCAAAGTCTAACCACTGCATACAAGAACGTTTTTGATTTTCATTAATCTGGTCTTCGGTCTGGTCTTCGGTCGAAGGTTCATTACTCCCTTCATAAAAATAAGGTTGAGAATTATCCGATATATTTGTATTGTAATATTGTACTTCATTTTCGGGTAACCAAAACATCTAAAATAAACGAGAAAACGCGTGGTGAATCCTTATGATAGCCACAAGTTTAAATGCATAGATTCCAAATTCTACATACCGGGTTGTATTGAGAATTAAAAGTCATTTTTAAAAGCCTAAAATAGAGGAGTATAGATCTAGAAAAGCTTTCATAAAAGACCGGAGTTAACAACAACAAATCGCCAAGAGAAATTGCAGTACCTGTCTCAGACTAAAGCTTTGCAAGGAATTTATGCTATGGTCTTTTTAAACATAAAACGAGAGCAAAGTTAACAAAGAATAAGGTACAACTCGAAAGTAAGGTTCATAGTTTGTATTCACGTACACACTTCTCTAAATCGGAGCTTTTTGATTAAAATAAGCGAAAATGAAAGATACATTTATATATTTTGCGACCCATTAAATATTATAAACAAAAACAATCATCTATAAAAGGCATATTGTATAAGGGCGATCAAACCGAAAAATTACCTAAAAAATGCAGAGCCACAACTATGCATTATCTAACATATATCGTACGATACATAGAAGTATAGAAATTTCTTTTCTAAGTCTTAACTTTTGTTCTACAATAAACAAATAAAAAATAAACAAAAGGCTCCACGGTAAAATCATATCCAAAGAAGGAAATTCTGTATATAAAATATCATTTCTTATTACAGTAAAAATATGGAAATAACTTATAAGGTTTTGTTAGCATTAAAAATTCA